GATAATATTAACATCTTTCTTGAAGTTTGTCGAAATACTTTTGGGCTAACTGATGCCCAGTTATTTGATGCAGGAGATCTAGAAGATCTCTCTCAGAGAGCAATCGCAGATGAGTGAGTTACCTTTTTTATTTTATTTTTTTATTTACTTTTTTTATTTTATTTTTTTTTCTTCTTTTTCTTTTTTTTCTTTTTCTTTTCTTCTTTTTTCTTTTCTTCTTTTTCTTTTTCTTCTTTTTCTTTTCTTCTTTTTCTTTTTCTTCTTTTTCTTCTTTTTCTTTTTCTTCTTTTTCTTCTTCTTTTTCTTCTTCTTTTTCTTTTTTTTTCTTTTTTGTATATCTTCCTCTTTCCATACTATTCACCCCCAACGCTCTGTTTCTGTTTGGTAATTATAAATGTACCACAGATCTCTAATGTTTTATATTATGGATATCTAACCAAATGATGTTACAAAGCATGAAAATAATGATAGTAACATAATTTTTATATTCCAATATATGAATAAAGACAAAAATAAGAACTTCTCTTAGCTAACATGTTTCATCATCTGATGGACTTTATCAAGTCAAATATAAGGATTTTATTTTGCAACAAGTATTTTTTTAAACAGAAATAAAAATGTGGTTTGTTTTTCAAAATTTTTAAATTTAAGAACACTCATAAATATACATCAGGCAAACTGAATATCAAGGTAAATTATGAAGGATGCTAAGTTATGTAATTTAATGCTTAATAAATGAAAGTGAGTAAATGTTGAATTTTTGTTTTATAATGTAATTATTATTTTATTTTGTGATTAATTTATATATTACATATTTTAAATAATAGAATATTTTGAATTTAACTATTTCCTTTTTTAAAGTCATCTATGTTGGCTTGTGAATGTGGTATTTCTTTCAGGAAATGAGATATTTGACAAAAATCAGGATTACGGATTTATGTTTTAGCAAGATTTGATAACGGCACTCTCAAGAAATTTCCATCTAAGTTACTATCTCTTTTAATAAGTGTGGCATTCTTTAGATCAAAGTTGTGGTTGATTGTATTTGTATGTATGACTAATGCATTTGTTTAATTGTTGTGTATAAAATCCTTTCTGCAAGTTTCCCCAATATGTTGTAAGGAACAGTTATAACAGTTTATTTTATATATACCTTATATTTTTTTTTTATATATAATTATTATTTTTATGTATATATTTCACTATATGCAAAACTATGAATTATGTCAAAAAAATATCAGAAGTATCCATTGTGATCATTTAAACCAGTGTTTCTCAACTAGTGTAGTAACCAGGTGTGCCCAAAGTTAACAGAACAGTAATTTATGAATTACTTTTTTTTTTATTATTATTCTTATAACCGTTATAAGCTGATAAAACCTTATGATCTCAAAGTTAGAGACTAAATCTCATTCATAAGATTTGAACTTTGAAACTTGGGAGGTACATATGTATACTTTTTTTTTTTTTATTTTATTTATTTTATTTTTTTTTTGAGTAATAAAAATCCTTCAGTGACTATACTGAAATATCTTGTGCTTTTTAAATAAATAGTAACAGAACTATTTCCTAGTCTCTTCACTAATTTGCAAAATCACAAATATATACAGGTTGCAACAGAAATATCTCCCACATAATGGTGTGGCAATGGTGTCTTTATTTAATGTCTTAGCATTGTGTGGGAGGTATTTCTCTTGCACTCTATATAACATTATTTACAATATTTTATTCTAATATTAATATTGGAAAAATGCAATTTCAAGAACATGCAGTTGAGTATTCATATGCACATACAAAGAATTAATTATTCCACCTGAAATACAAGCTTCTATTAAATTTAAAGTGTGCCTCAGAGTTTTAGTTATTCTACAAGTACACCCTGAATTTAAAAAAAAATGGTTGAGAAACACTGATTTAGTCTAATGAAATGAATTATAATTTGAGAACACCAAAGATGAAATGAAGGCAAGGATTATGGCAGCATTCACCAACTTAAATAAGGAGACCGTACAGAAGAGTTGCAGGAGATTCAGAAGTTGTCTGGAGACTATGGTTGAAGCCAATGGAGATTTTATTGAATTAATTTACTCCTTAGTATTTCAAGATGTTTTTGTGTAATTTTGGTAAAGATATCTGTTAAAATGAGATGTCATTGTTATTTTCTGTTTTACATAATTCAGAGGTCAATTCATCCATCATACCCTGTAGAACTAGACCTGTATCATTATCCCACTAATTCTTTCTTTTTTGGGGGGGGGGTGTTATGTGCTTAATTATTTTTTTAAATTTAGTATAAAATTTTAGCCTTATTTCCTTTTGCTTTGGATTTATTGTTGGGATGCAGTTAAGTTATCCTTTGAAACATTTTCTGACTTCTTCTGATTGAATACATTTTTACTATACTCTTTTCTTTATCATATACACTTTTCATTTGCTTCAAGGAAGACTTGCACATTTAAGAAAGATCTTTAATTATTCTGTCATCAAACTTCTTGTGGTGCAATTAACAGGAAGATAGCATTATGTTTTTCTTTCTTGTTAATTCCCTCCCCCCACTGAGTTATTTAAGTTATTTGTCCATGAGGAGAACATTTTCACATCACCTGATGAAAGTTAAAGGTTATTATTCAAAATATCTTTAACCTTGGTTTCATTTTATGAATGAACAAAAATAAAATTTGTATAAACCTGAATGTTAACTTTTTGAAAATTCACCTCATAGATTTTTCTCAGTATTTGTGAAATTTGAATGAAGCTCATAAATTGTGGAGAGGTCATGACAAACCTTAAGTTTACAGACATACCACAGAGTTTAATAAAATTGCCTTGCAGATAAAACCGTTGATTTGTGAATTTGGTGACATAGTGGTTGTGAGTTCAATCTCTGGGTCAGGCATTGTGTACTTGCACACAGATAAAATGGTCGTGCAATAACTGAACAGTATTAAATAAAAATAAGAACTAGACAATATCCCTTGAAATGAGCAGTAAAATGAAAACAGTCTAACCCAGACCCCCCTAGATTAAATAAAGGGTTCAGTTCAGAATTCACTGTAGGTTACCCAGATCAATATACACCTGAGGAAAACTGGAAGGCACAACAGCCAAAACATTGTGATAACAGTAAAAGATGAGGAAATAGTCTGAATAGATATAGTGATGACTGGAGTACAGGCATCCCTTAATTCATCCACCAAGCATTCAATTAATGTGTTTTTGATTAGTGTGCTAAAACTTTTATATACCAGAATTTGATTAGTGTATACTTAATACTTGATTAGTGTGGTAAAACATTCTTCAGTTTAACCATAGTAATTGAAAATTGTATTTATATATATATATATATATAACTGATAATGAATGGAACTTTAAAGTGGTCTGTTTTTCTTTAAAAAATATATATATATATATATATAGTTACTGATGTACATATTAGCTGCACTAATCAATGGATTCCTGTATACTAAAAACCTGGAGAAACAAATTCCTCAGTGTCACCTTTTATCAAATATAGGCTTTGCTATCCTACTTGTTAAGATATTTGGATCAAAAGTGCAATGTTTCTCTTAGCAGAAAATCATAGTATCAGACACTCAGTTGAAAAGCATATGTAAAATTGTACACCTATATATGCAATGAATTAACAATGGCATTTAAACTTGCTGTTTACTTTTAATGAGCCTTTGTTGTAGTAAGGACATAGAAGTTGGTAACATTTGCCAAACTGGGAATGTATATCTTATAGAATAGACAATGACATATACATGGATTTTAATGGTAATTTTTTATGTCTGTTAAAAAAAATACTTTCATATTTATTAGTATCTTTTATTTTCTTGGTAATTTTGGAAGGTCGTGAATTAAGTAGTAAAAATTTGACTTAATATTTTAGTCATTACTGCTGATTTTTTTTCTTTTGTAAGTTTGTCTAAATTAGACACTTCAAACAGAACTTCATAATATCAATAAAACTATGACCTTTTAATAGTTGCTACATTTGTATACACATGTTACAAACTATAAGTAACAACTGGTATGGGATAAGATTAGTATTACTATTAAAATACCACTGTCATATTTTCAAATACTGCATGCAAGATAAATTTTGGAAAACAATGTTAAGAAAAAGGAATTTTTTAATATTCCAAAAGCTATAATAAAAAAAAAGAAAAAAATTTTTCAATGATTTTTCAGGGTATATTTAAATAAAAGTCTGATGCCACAGAATTGTAAATAGTCTTAAACGGATAAAACTACATATTTTTTCCCTAAAAAGTAACCTTTTTTTCGGGCAATGCCTCATCAGAAGAATCATTGGTGACTACAAAAATGTTAACAAGAATCGTAGACAAACTGGGATGAAATGAGGAATTATGACTAAAATATAATTTGATATTGAAAAAGGAGAAAAAAAAAATATATTTATATTAAATAAACATCTTTTTCCTCACCAGTAGCATGGCTTGCTGTTTCAAGCACAATGCAAACTTTAAGTGCTGAATAGAGACTGATTGCATTGAGCATGAAACTCTCGGTCATACTACTACCATTGAGGATAAAAATGTATATTTATTAATATATATTTAAAAGCTGTTATATTACATTCAGCACTATTAACACCAGCACTGAATGTTCGATATTGTGTGTGTGTGTATATATATATATATATATATATATATATAAAATAAAGTTTGGTAATCTGCATGGATAATTCCAGAGTGTGAAAAATAAGAAATGTTATTAAGAAACAAGAACAATAAAAGAGGAATCAAGAAGACAGTAGATAACAACTAACATTGCATTTTAATTTTTGAAGATCAAAGTTGGCTGTTAAGCATAAAGCCAGAAGAGTTCCACAAGTGAGAAGTGCAAACTGTTAGCACAACTTACAGTTGAATCTTGCCAATTCAACTGTAAATTGATGAGACCTTGTTACCAATCTAGTACTGTGCTTAAATTCATAAAGTTTAGGTAACATAGAAAGTACATAAGAACAATTACCATAAAAGTATTCATAGAACAGGCACAGGGAAGCTACATTATGGTGGTAGGAAAGTGAGATATATACTGCACTCTCCCGTCGTTTTTGATGTATGTGGGTCAAGTACCTAAG